TACACGCTGTAGTTCTAATCACTACTCATCAATTTTAGCTCAAAACACAAAAAGGTATAACAAATAAAAAGTATTCAGCAGACATTCCTGCTTTAGAAACCTGTTAACTGCACACCTTACAAGGCAGAGCTTGCACTCCGCTGTCTGCTCTGACAAGTCAATAAAACCCACTGGTATGCCGAACATTTTTGGAAGGCAAGATAGATATGAGGCTGCGGTGGAATTTGATCAGGCAGTGAGCCAGCCTCCCGTTCATTACAGAGCTTTCCAGCAGTAACACACCCTCCCGGTGAGCACACCTCAACCTGAGGAAAAGTATTACTGACTGGCACGTCAACAACCCGCGCCCACCCTTGGCCGCCCCTCACCTGCCCGTCTTCATCGCTGTCACACATGCATGTGCTGACACAGTACACACACATAATGTACTCGTTCTCTCTCAATTTCACCCAAGTTGCATTGGAAGGAATGGCAGGGAAGTGGAAAATATGAAAAGGCCTGAAAATCCAGGGCAGATGTGAGCTGATAGGGCGGGAGAGATGGAAGTGGACCCAGTGCAATGGGTGTCAGTATGAATCTCAAGATTGAGCTGCAAAATCGTGTCTTTTCAGCTTGTTTTGCTGTATTGTTTTCTCCCACTGTTAAAATTTCAAGTTTGAAATATAAAACTTGATTTCTCTAAGACTGCTGAAGTGTAATATTGGCTTCAGATAAACTTTTAAAAACATTTTTACACAGAATAAGGACTGTGGTCCTTCGTTCCCTATCACTGGATTAATGATGACAGCAAGTAAAAACCTCTGTCAGTGTTCATATGAGAATCCTCATTGTTGTTTTAAGATAGACTTGAAAAATTGTGAACTGTTCTTTAATGGTGAACTGCAGCTAGGTATAAAGAAGAGGGTAGCATGTGTGTGTGAGGAAGCCCCCCTCTAGCAGTGACCTTCCTTTCAGGATTATCTGCTTTGAACTATTTCTGCTTCACCTTGACTTTGGACCAATCAGAGCCCAGCTGGCATCCCTCACTCCAGAATCACTCAGCAACACTTTCTAGTCCAAGGGCTTTATTAATGATTACTAAAGATCAGAACTGGATTGTTAGGAAGAAAAACATTTGTGTTGCCAGGTTGTAAGAAAACTATTTTGTCTGGTGTTTATCTTCCTCTACTACACCTTCTTTGTAGTTTTTGCTTGTTACTTAAGCCCTCTCCAATAGTTCAATACTTCAAACCAGAAGCACAAACAGTGGGACAATGAGTCAGCATAAACAGTAGCAGGACCCTGAAACAGAAGGAGCTAAATGAAATTTAGCCATCTTTCATTGTATTATTTACACATGTGCTTTTCCTATATAGTATGACCACAACCACACGGGTGTTTTCATTTATCCTGATTGAAGGTAATTGAAAATAGTTGTTGTGCTTTTGTTACCTTAGAATTCACTTTTTTTATCTACAGAGGGAGCAAGTCCTCTTCTACGGAGTCCGCCATGTTGATACACCATGTTTCTACAGTAGCTCAGATACTGGCTCTAGATGGTTTTTCACGAGTTTGGTGACCACTGTGGTTTCTCCTATACACTTTGAATGGGAGGGTGAGGCAAAGACACTGTAATCTGCAACTACTGCTAGATGCCACTAAATCCTACACAGTAGTCCTGGTCTACAGAGAAGTTGTCCCGCCCTAAAAGGTGCAACAAAACTAACAGGAGATTGAGAGAGAAGCCAATCAAGCAGTCTGAACATGCCTACACAGTCTTGAAAGGAGGTTTAATCAGGAAATGTACTTGAAAACACCTGTGTGGGTGGACAATAGGTACTTAAATTGATCATTTGTACCATTCAGCACACAGCAGGGAAGCTTGTTCTTCCTCACAGTGTGGTAGAGGTGGGAGAGTACATTTTAAATCACCTCTTTGATTTGCATTCTTCATTTAAAATATGTATAAAAAATATAAAAAGCCATACATTTTTTGCTGTATGTCTTTTCTAGTGTGTTAATTAGTCTTCCACCATTTGCATGCATGACCTTCTCCTTGTCTTTTCAGCAACTTGGATGTGATTTTCTTTGCTAGTGTGTGTGTGCACATTGTACAATAGCAACAGGTCAGGCTTCCTCTGAATTAAGCAACCCTTCCATAGAAGGCCATAGCTGTGGCCTATATGATTAACTCCAGGTCCAAAACATGTCTTCTTTTGACCCACTGAGTTGTTCACTGAGGAGAAATATAAACGTTTTCCCCGATATGAACTTCATAAAAGGAAATACCATTTACCGTTACTGTACTTGGGTATAATTATCATCCTTGTATATCATGTTTTCCCTTGTAATTATGTCATAATTCAAAGGCTTCCCTGGTGAGCTAAAAACGGTCAGGTACGTCATCATATAAGAAACTTCTCTGAGGAACGGGCCTATTAATTGTCAGGATATAATTACATTCACAACACCCTCAGGGCCCGTCTCGTTTAGTCATCTCAGAGTTACTGCTCCAAACTATAATTAGAGAATGTAATCACACAGGTATGGACCTCCAGGATTTATTTTTCAGCCTGACTGAAGGCTGATTGAAACGACATCTGTGGTTGGGCACCAGGCAGGGAGTGTTTACGACCTGGCACATGTTCAACAGCCACATGCAGTGGCACCGGGCTGCATACCACATCAGCAGAGTTCCCAATTTACATACACAAACATTCACACATGGATTCTGCTAATTAGTTTGACGTGTGTATATTCTTGTTACTATGAGAGCGACTCCTTGAGTGGCGTGCATGTGTGTGAGTGTGTCTCCCTGTAAATGCCCTTGTGAGGTTATGCCACCCTCGTGTGGCACTTTCTGCCAGTGTTAACAAGTGACCTCATCCCATTATGTCTTTCCGATCTCAAATGCCATCCAATAAACTACTCATTTCTCACCTCTTCATGCACTCTCTCTCGCCATTAAAACACCTCTTACCTCTATCCCTGACACCCACTCTGAAACAGCAAGACAGACCGAGGAGAACATAAAGTAACTGCACACTATGAAGTGATTTCCCAGTGAGAAGTGATTAATCACTTCAGTTTCAACATTTTTGTGATGTAGGCCCAGGGTTTAAACCTGGATGAATCTGAAGCCAGTGAATGTCTGAATTAATGTAGTTCTGCTGCTCTGTAAAGCCTTTTTCACCATCCCGTTGCCCACCGCTTTGTTCTGCCTGACTAAAATATCTCAACAACAATTTAGATGGCATTTTGTACAGACATCAGTTTCCAGAAAGGATGAATCCTACTGCATTTTTCTGTGGCACTGCAGATCAAAGTTTTCACTTCACCTGTGAAATATCTACCGAATGGATTGCCATGAAATTTGTATTCATTGTATTAATCCCAGACGATGTATTCTAATGAATTCAGTGATCTATGACTTTCTTCTAGCCCCAACAGCAGGTTGAAGTTTGTTATTTTGTGTGAATGTTTCCACAACTATTGGATGGGTTGCCATTAAAAATTTGGTCCAAAACTGTATAGTCTTTACAGGATGAACTACAATCACGTTGGCAATCCCTTGACTTTTCATCAGCTCGTTTTTTTTAATTTGTCCAATACTTTAACTAATGTAATTTCCTTCAGCTGCAGCTTATTGCTAATTAGCAGATGTTAGCATGCTAAAATAATTTGGCAAACATGGTAAACATTTGCCTATACCTGCTTAACCTCAACATATTGCGTTAACTCCGCATATTAGCATACTGATGTTCATTTAGCTCAAAGCACAGAGCCCCCAGAGTGTCCTTTTTGGACACAAAAACACGAAAGAACGTAAGGGATTTCCTCTTCTTAGTATCAGATACTGCTCAGTGGTCATTTGGGGCCCACGGCTCATTTTTACATTGGGGCCTCCTAAAGGGTTAATCTGGCCTGGTGGGTAATATTTGCATACTGTATGTGTTTGAAATGCAGGTGTACTGTATTTCTTCCTGGAACTGGAAACATTTTTGTGCTGTAGGCACCTCGAGGATGTAAAGAATTCAACTAATACTGCAGCAACTACATTCTTTGATTCTGAATTATCCATCCACATTTTGACAATCTTGACTATGTAAATACATATTTTATTAATATGAACAGCTCTCTAAGATCTGATCCCAAACAAGTTCAAGAGTATAAAACAGCCTTAAAAAAACATAGAGAATAGTTATTGGGATATTTTGGTGAGGAGATGAGAGAGTAACAAACATTCAACTTACTGAACTAACATGGCTATTTTTTCTTCTCTGTGATCCTCAGCCAATGACTTAGGCTTTGATCTATGTAATAAATCTAACAGTGATTAATGAAATGTCTAGCTATATGCAGGGAGATTAAGTTAATTATCTTCACCGTGACCCTGAGTGGAATATTAATCAAGAACATGAACCTGAAAATGTTGCTCCTCTTATGAAGTTCAGCGCCTGGTTGAGTCACAGAAAAAGTGGGTGAGCAATGTTTTCTCCTGGGGGCTGAATCATGCATGGACAGCAAAAACACAGAGCTCCAAAAAACGGGGAGCTGAAGATGGAGCTAGGGGAGCAATGACACATCATGTATCATTTTACACGTCCCAACACTGCTCTGACTAAAGCTCTAGACAGCAGAATGATTGAGTAACAACTTACCATAAAACCACTCCCAACCAATTTCACATCTAAATATGTTGTGTGTGTGCAAGCTTCACATTTGTCCCTCAGCACACATTGACTCAACATACTATATTACTATATCCCCTCTGGATCTCTTTAAATAAGATAGATATGATGGCTAGGGCATCATGTTCACTGCATTTATCATTGTTATATTCAGATGAAATCATCCACACGTTTTCCCAAAAGCATGGGAAGAGCAGCAGAGCATGTCACACAACTGCTGCCTTTTCCATTATACTGTACGTGATGCCAGATCTTGCTCACTTTGGTACACAGTGCAACACACATTTGCTCTGCTGCTCTGTTGAATATAAAAAAACAAAACAGCCGAGCCCCATTTATCCATCATATTTTATTCAACAATATAACTTTTGCTCTTCAGAGTACAATCAATATAAGATACATATGACAAAATATATTTTAAATAGAAGAGAAAAAACATTAAGGCATTTCAATGCAGGAAGTTAACAGTCTTGACAGCATGAATTATAAGATTAGTGTTACAATTTTTGTGTTTATAACTCTAAGGCACTATGGCATGATCACTGCTGAAACCACATAAAAGACTAGGCAAAGATGGATAACTTTCTACACTTAAAGTGGTGACAACATGTTGGTTTTTAAATGTGGTTTTCATTGCTGTGTCAACAGTGTACAGTGTTTCAGCAATAAGCCAGAGCAGACGCATGGAGTCATGAAAGACAAAGCAGCTAGTGAAAGATTGGTCGTTCTGCCAAAAAAGTGTGGTGGCATTGTATTAACACTTTAATAATCCCTTGTGTCACACATGAAGCAGCAACAGGGCAAAGCACTGTAATTATGTTCATCACGCAAGCCAGCCTGGTGCCAGTGTGACTTCTTGACTGGGACCGACATTAGAAAGCCGAGCTGTTCCTCTGGAGAATCACCGTGGCACCAATGAGGCGGTCAATTGGCCAAGGTGTGTTATGAAAGCCATCATTTCCTGCGTGTGTTCTCGAGTTAAAAAATCTCTTGTTATTGCCTCTGTGACCGAGGGCTGCGAGGATGGCATCACAGAAACGCATAAACAGCTTGACCACATCCACCAAACCTGGGGCAGAGAACAAGCTCTTTCTCACTCTTTCCCTTTCTCTCCGTCTGTGTTTCACACTTTCATTTGCTTACATGCATAAACAAAGCCAGGCACACACACGCACACTCAAACATACAAACATCCACATACACGTATAAACACAGATTTGTTACCTCGGTATGTACATTACTTAACTCCTGCGAGTAAAGCCTACACGCATCAAGCCTGTTGTCATGCAAAGTTTAGTACTCTCTCAACTCACAGGCAAATTCCCTCCCTTTACACTTCTGAACTGTTCTGGACTTCTCTGGAAATTATTACTCATGAGTAAAACTATACAGAAACTTGCACAAACAGTGCGGCGCAGCAGTACTAACCCCTACAACATTTATCAACAGAAGCTGTGATTTACAAGGTCTGTAAATGATTTTTTGTATCAAAAGCTGCTCATATTGGATATTTATCATGTACACTTATATAGAAAATATGATTTTTCTCTCTCTTTCCTATAACAGAGTGCTTCACTGATGCACACACAGATTATTGTAAGCAGTTCTGGTCTGAACAAAGTAATAAATGAAGGTACAGCTGCATCCCAGATTCATCACAGTTAGGATGTGTGTCCACTAGGCTTCTTTTCTTGAGGGCCACTGCTCTGTCCCAAATTGTTTTTACTATGGAAGTAGCTAACAACCACTACAAGGGAAAACACTGCATCCAGCATATTTCCTATGTCCACTTCAGGCACTTAAAGTAAACAACTTTAAAGATTAAAATTGTTTTACTGTTAAGTGCTCTTTTTGAAACACAGTGCTTGACTCCCCAGGACACTAAAAACTCTTCATCACAATGCTTCCCTGCACCCTGGGAGAAAAAGATGCCCAGTGGTCACATTACAGCATGGGCTGGTCGGTCATGAGCAAGCCTATTGGATTTGCTGTGAGTGAGTCTGGCACAGCCTATGTTATATGTTGTATGCATGTTTTGTATGAAAATGTACAGTATGTAATTCTGATACAGGCATCTGCTGTGTTACACTGCTATGTTTGCTGAACCAGACTTATGTGGGCTGCTGGGAATTGCGGTGCTCAGAAGGCGTAGGGCCCGACTATGACTGTGAGCCGCAGCAGTGAGCTGGAGCGGTAGTTCATGGTCAGATGGTGAGTGACCATCTCCAGGTCCACGACATACTCCCTGGGGCCTGACAGAGGCTTGGTTAGCACCAGCATGGCACTCACATTGCTGGAACGCTGCAAGAAAATATGACACATGACAGATTAATCACAGATTTTATATATTATTTATATATTTATATTTATAATTTAACATATTAAAGATATAGTACGTTGAATTAGATTTATTTTTGTTTAGCCATGCTGTTAGACAACCAATCTAAAATACTAGACTAAAATATCAATAAAACTATTGGATTGATTACCAAGACCTTTTGTTTAGACATTCATTACTTTGGTGATCCCCTGACACCATGAAGTGGACTTTTTTGGCTTCCGATACACAATAATTGCAAAATGTCTGACTCAGTCTCAGCGGCACTTTGTGTTTTTGGCTAATAAGTAAATCTTAGCATGCTAAGAAGCTGATAAACATCTGCATGTTTGCACTGACATCGTGAGCATGTTAGTATTGTGAAGTTAGCATTTAGCTCAAAGCAGCACTCATATGCAGCCTAACAGCTGCTAGCATGGCTGCAGACTCTCAGTCTTGTTTGCTTAGTGCCAAATAATATCTTGGAAATGTGGGGACACAGCACAACTTTAACTACTGTGTAACAGGTGCCACATGTTGATACAATCTGTTGGGTAATTGTACGGGTGGAGTCAAGGGGATGTGTGAATATGTGTGTAATTCAATGGATTTAGCTTGAAACTGCAGATTCTGACAGCATTTGACAATGCTGTAACAGTTTAGCATTTAATCTGAGCTCATTATCACCTGTTACACTCTCCCCCAGCTTTTCATGCAACGCAAAAAAACCAATTTGACTAAATCGACTTACACGGAGGAAAAATTCTCCTCCCTCATTCCCAGCTTTGATCCTGAAGGTGTTGTGTGTGTTGGCGTAGATGTTGGTGGCCTGAATCTGGAAGATATCCGCCGGCACAGTCCGGTCTGCCTGGATGCTCATGTATTTGTAGACAATTGACGGTGGGAGACCCTGGCACTCAGTCTGAGAACGGCAGATACAGCGACTGCAGACAGACAATAATTGTGACAATCTTTGTGAAACTGGCTCCACAGTTGATAGTGAAACAAAAGAACTGGATGATGTTTACTGACTTTTCAGAGGTTTTGGCATAAGGTGCCTCGCAGGGGTTTCTGGGATAGCAGCGGAAGCCTCCATAATAGTTCCAGCACATTTCATCATCTTGGCAGTTATGGGTCCCCGTCTCACACTCATTTATGTCTGGTGATTGGCAGAGAAACACAGAGAGAGAGAGAGAGAGAGCGAGAGAGAGAAAGAGGGGAAGAAAAGAGTATTGAATAGTCCAAAATAGCTAGATGACAATATTAGTATCCCCCACTTCCAAAACCCACACAAACCTGACACGCTTCATGAAACAGAGCTGTGTAAACACAGTCAAAGTTCAGGACGTGTACAGTTTGGGAACTGTGTTTCAGGGTTGTAGCTGCACTTCCAGCAGCTGTGGAGATGCAAAGAAACACAAGAGGGAAACCTGGAGATCTGTAATCGAGGGAAGCCCCCAATGCAACCCCCACGCAGGTCTAACTGCAGCTCTTTCCTTGCACCACCTTGAAAATAACCCCATCAAACCTGCCCTAAACCACAGGGCTATTTCTGGCACAGAAACCTGGATTCATCACCAAAGGGTCCCTCTGACACAACCGGCCGGATTCATGACTCCCCCTATAAAGCCTGCACCTGACCGAAGGGGAGAGGAAAAAATAACAGCTCACCCTTTGAGCAAGCGCCGGAGCTTCAAATAAATCCACTTCAAGAAACCAACATCATGCATATAAATTCACAGAGGTGGCTTAGCAGGGCAACACAAAGTTGCTGTGTTTGTAATGCCTAACCTCTGCATTCTTTCCATGACAGTACTGGTTGAGAGTGGCTTTCATTCCTCTCCTTGAGAGGTAGAATAGTGGATGATAGTGGGAAATGATGGGGAGTTCCTGTAAACAGTTATCTTCAAAGAGTTGAGGAAGGGAGGAGGAGAAGAGGACTCACTTGGGAACTTTGTTGTGTGTGAAAACAGAGGAAGGTGAGATAGACAAATAAATAAAGTAAGAAGGGCTAAAAATAAGATTGATAAAAGGAAAAGGGAGAGGAAAAAGGACTGTAGTACCTTGACACAACCTGTTTCCCTGGAGCTGATATCCTTCTGGACACTCACAGGAGTAACTTCCTGGGCTGTTAATACACTGGTACTGACACATGTAGCTGGAGAAGCTGCATTCATCAATGTCTGTACAGAAAATATGTACACACACACACACACACACACACACACACACACACACACACAGCAAAGCATAGATAATGAGTATAAGGCAGTGCATGGTATAAAATGAGAATATGATGGGTTTACAAACATGCATTTATCTGCCACTGTATATCTATGTATGTATGTATATGTGTGTGTATGTGTGTGTGTCTGTGTGTGTGTGTCCACCTTGGCAGGAGACCGCATCTTGTGCCAGCTCATAGCCCTGGTCACACTGGCAGAGGAAGGAGCCAATCAGGTTGTAGCAGTGGTGCTGACAGGGACTCTGCACATCACATTCATTCACATCTGGAACAAAAGCAGATGTTTTACATAGGGATGGGCATGAGTACTCGAGCACTCATTTGGATGTCAGTATTCAACATATTGGGCACTCACTTTCAGATCTGCGCATGGGCGTTTAAAGCTTTCAGTCACACACCACTCATCTAATGTTACAGACAGAATGGCAACCAGGCATAAAAGTGATGTTTGGAAGTATTTTGGAAAACGGAAAACTGTGCAGGGTGAGCTATGTAACATTTGTGTATCATAGAAAAAGAGAAAACAGCGGAGACGGATAAACCTCTCATCACCTCATTTGTTAACCTTTGCAGTGTTAGCAAATGTCATTGTGATCCTACCGGGGCAGGGATTATTAGCTGGCTTATGGTAACAATGGTGAGTGGAGATATGCTCCCATTAAACTTTGTGGAAGGAGGAGGCTTACACAAGCTGATGGGGTTGTTGGGCCGGAGTATAAGCTACTACTGGGCCGAAGAACAACTACAACAATGGAGGAGATGTTTGAGGACTAAGCTGCAAAGTGCTGAACAAAATTAACTGCTTAGTTACAGCTGACAGGCCAAAGTGGCTGCAGATAAAAAAGTAAACCAGCAACAGCTTTTTTTACCAGCCAAATTATTATTTTGTTTGGGTGTTTATTTTGGACCCTATTCTTACATTAGATCTTTGTTAGTGAGTACTCAATAATAATTAAAAGCGAATACTCAAATATGGAAATTACATAAAAGGCGTATCCCTAGTTTAACATACTATAAACGGATAAGGATATAATTGCACTTATTGTCTCATTTGTTTTCCATATGGAAGTTGGACTTTGGCACTACAGGTCTAAAGGGGGCAGAAAGACACACACAATTGTGGTATGCACACATTCAGTACAAACATAGTGCACATGTTTCAGCATAGCTGGGAGCCAGTCATGGGTTTTAAATTGATTTCTAAATATGTTTCTGAGATAAACAGCTCTCTATCACAGCACAACATTCTCAATAACTTCCTTTGACTTGAGCAGGAGATTTGCTTGCACTTGTGTGGGTTCAGGTTGCATAGTGAATCTCATGATAGCTCTGAGCTTCCAGACATAAAACAACTGCTTGTGCACTATTTGTTTTGTTCAAGCCATTCCTGACCTTAAGATATCTGCATCCTGAGAAAACTGAGGAATGACAGAAGCACTGTGTTAATGCTGTGTGTGAGTTTGGTAGGCTGGCATCCTCTCTGCTGTGTATTACATCACACCTCTTTACATTATTATACCTTTATTTAATAGCTTAGTTTTATCCCTGAATTATTATTAATTACACTGCTCTTGTTTATTGTCTCTTGTTATTATGTGTGGTGTGCTGTTACTTGTATGTACAGTAAAACACTCTGTAAACACAGTTTTTAGAAAGTGATATATAAATAAAGGTAATTATGATTATTATTATAAACTCTTGTCATTTCCAATGAGCATGCAAGTAACCAAAGGTGTCCAAATCTAGTAAAAGTTAGCAGCTGAGCAGATTAGGTGGATATCCACAGCGACATAAAATGTCTGACGAGCTACGTCAGAATAACAAATCACTGAAGCAAAATGTTTTTATTATTCGATGTTCGATGTTGTACACACAAACACACACTGACAATGAGTACACATGTCTTTTCAGTGACTTACCAACACAGCTGTGGTTGTTGCTGGCCAACTTATGACCTGCGTTGCACTCACAGTAGTATGAGCCCTGTGTGTTCACACATCTGTGCATGCAATAGTGAGTCAGGGCACACTCGTCTCTGTCTGCAGGATGACACAAACACACACACAGACAGGAGAAGATATGGCCGGTAAGATACGTTGCAAGAAGCATTTCTTTAAATCAACTGATAAAAGACGACACACAAAAAGCTTGACTCCGGTTTGAATCATCTGATAAAGCTAGAGGAGAGGGCGTGTGACTCACCCACACAGTGCTCTCCGTTCCTCTGATAGCCCGGAGGACACTGGCAGGTGTAGGAGCCTTTGGTGTTGTAGCACGTCTGCTCAGGGCCACAAGTGTGTCTACCTATCGCACATTCGTCTATGTCTGCAATAAACACATAAAAACACACACTGAGAGGAAGCTACACCAAGTTAATTCCTACTATATGCAGGAACACGTGGCAGACAAAGCAAAGCAACATGTCTGGACTATATATGCTCTGTGATCTGTGATCTGTGAACTCTTTTCCATAGACAGTAAAATCTGTGATCACTGACAGCATCACATCACACGCATGGGCATAAACACACATTTTCACACAGAGAGCGGGTGATAAATAAAGACGGCTTTTATTCAGCAGCTCCGGGTGGGGAGGGGGGGGGCACAGATCGTATCTTCTACTAACAGGACAGCTTTTTAAAGGAGGAAGAGTGTATGTATGTGTGTGTATGAAAGAGCTCAACTGATAAGTCATGTGCTTTCTACCATAACGCCTCGCTCTGTCAACAGACAGACCCAAAAACACACAGACCCAGACACACTCACTTTCTATCTTTCACCTAATCATTAATAAGTTATATAACATGATAAGCACTAGTTTGATGTTCGTATAAGAAGCTTAAAAACACAAAGCTCCTGTCAGAAACACGCTACATTTCCCAAATCTCACTGCAGCGAAAAATTTTTATGCTGTAAACAACTTGGATTTATCACTGACTGATAAACATCATGCAAAAACTCAAACATTACCAACTTGTTATGTCTCAATGAGTGTCTCAAATAAATGGTACTCTACCCACATGCAGCACTGTAAATGAAGATGAGAGGATGTTAAGACTTTGTGTGTTTTAACAATTGGTTTAAAGTACAAAAGCACCTTTTCCCCCAGGTTTTTAGTTAAGTTTTCAGCAGATATTCCAGTTTGGGCTAAAATACATAACACAGCTGTGGAAAAATTCTCCTTTTTCTGTTGATCCTACAAACACGTTCTCAATTTTGATTTGCTTGGAGCCAGAGCCTCTTCAAAAGGATTTTCTCACTATAACCCCCTCACCCCCTTTTTTCTGAACTTCTATCTGTCTCTCTCTCTCTCTCCTCCCCACACACACACACACACACACTACAAATAAGCCCATACTGTATACTCTCATCCCTGTAGGCCCACCAGCAGGCCTCTTGGGTGGTCTGACACAACCCATCATATGCAGACAGCCAGTGGGCATCAGTTTTAACAGCATGACAGACAGTTATATTCAATACCACACGCACACACAGGAAAGGAGGGGAGTCCTATCTGCATTGTGATTTGAACAATCTGACTAGAAGGTGACAGGAAAACTTGAAGCCTGTCCTTCCTTACTGACTGTGCTGAACTTGACAGACATTTTATTGCAGGGTTTAGATGCAATCAAAGCAAAGAGTTACATACTCATGGAGCCCCTATTCATAGACAATGTGTTAAGATCAACCATTGATTGATTGAATTAAATCAGTTTAAAAAAGCCCAACTTGCTGCTCCACAGGTATTTTGAACTGATCTTCCCCTGGAAATGTTTCATGTGATGTGGTCTGAGCTGGAAAGGAACACAGCCTTCCCTGAGTGCTCTATATGCCAGTCCCACAGCCTCCATCGTCCAGTGGGATTTGTGCCGGTGAGAAATTGGCCCATGAACCAAAAGGTGGACAGAAGGTAAGTTGTCCTCACTCCTTAAAGGAAGGAAATGGAAGAGGGCTGAGATGTGCTCAAGTCTGAGGGGGCACAGTGATAAGATGGACTCACTACATTAGGGACAAAAGCAGGGCTTATCCAAAGGTGCACCTGAGAGACAACAGGTGCGAACTGCATACAGGGAGGAATGCGCAGACAAGGCTTGTTGCTCACTGACCCGCTTAGTAAAGGACAAAGATAAAAGCCGTGTTGTTCTGGAAAATCTATGCTCTGATGTGGCTTGAAAGGCATCTGGGAAAGTGCATCCGCAACCAGCACCAAGTGTCAGTGAGAAACCGAATGCTTTGATTCCAGCAGTATCACACTATGGGATACTGACCCACTTGCAACAGCCCAAAGGCTTCATGACATGCGTATCATAAAAGGTTTGGTGCATCAGAGGGTCACTGTTGGTGGTAGACCTGCAGCATCCAGATCCAGCCTCTTAGGTCAAGAAATCCTACCAAGTCTGAATGTGGATGATAGATTTCCCTATGTGGTGTGTGTAGCCACAGATACGCAAGTGCATCCACACTCAGTAGTGTTTGTTTTGGGGCGCCCTGGTAGCTCACACGGTAGAGCTGGAGCCCCATGTACCAAGACTGAGTCCAACAGCCACAGGTTTAAGTCTGACCTCTGGCCTTTTGCTGCGTAACCTGCCCTCTCTCTTTTCCCATTTCCTGTCTATCTACTGTCCTATCTAATAAAGGCAAAAAGTCCCCAAAAATATATAAAAAACAAAACAGAAACAAAACAAAACAAAACAGTATTTGTTTTGCCACGATCTATAGAGATTTCAGTAGATTCATCAGGTTCAATTTGTAAATACTTTCTAACATCATCCCTTAAGTTATAATACAGTATACAGTAACCTAATATTACCTGTCAGGTAATATTAGGTTACACTAGGCTGTAGAAGAAGACAACAATACAGTACCTACAGTATAGTATTAGCTAAGTAAGTACAAGTATAGCTACACAAGCTAACAAGGTAAACCACTAACCCTTTAAATAATAACAGGGTGAAGTGCTTGTCAGCAAAAATAAATAAATAAAAAGAAATTAAATCATGTGTATATACAAGACCAATGAAAAATTTGAATGAATGGCAACAAATAGTCAGGAAACAGCAATGGCCAGATCAAGTCCCTGTGAATCACAACCACGCCTACTTACTGGAGGTATTTGGTGATTCATTGAGACTGGAAATGCCCTGCCTTCTGGCAGTAGATTCAGACAACACAAGTCTGAGATTCCTGATAAAATAAGGTCCTGTGTGCTAACAATTACAAATTTAGCATGCTGATGTTTAGGAAGTGTTTGTTTACAATGTCTTCCCCTCCCCCTTTAGTTAAGCATGTTAGCATGCTTACCTTTGCTAATTAGCAATGGCTTTTTGCCTTTATTAGATAAGACAGCTGAAG